AGAGAGAGAGAGAGAGAGAGAGAGAGAGAGAGAGAGAAATGGCATAATAGACATAACTTTCTAAAAAAGTGTTCCGTCTTATCCGTCCTTATATTCCCCTGCGAAAAATCATACTTCTCAACGACCAGCTTTATCCGATTGCAAAACTCTTCATCAGGAATGTCTTTTAAGACCATCTGGCGAAGACAAAAGTCGACATCCCCGGACAGTATCGACGCCTGGGCCTTAAAGAGCTAACTTTATCGTTAGTAAAAATTATCCAAGACGCCTACCAACTTGTAGAAAGACATACAGAGAGAGAGAGAGAGAGAGAGAGAGAGAGAGAGAGAGAGAGAGAGAGAGAGAGAAGGCGGCAAAGGAACAAGAAGAGGAGTACAAGAAGGGGTGGTCGCGAAACGGTGAGGAGAGAAGAGGGCCAGTTTTAATAGCCGAGACCCACCTCGGGCCCACAAGCGCTCGCAGGAAATCCTCGCGGCCGATGTTCATCGGAGATAAGCACGTAATGCAGTAGCCCGGCTCTATCGGGCGAGTATTTATTGGTTATTGGTGCGCGGGCCGTCATTAGCCAAACGGGGCTCCAACCACTGTGAGAGCCGATTCCGAGATATCGCGCGAGGTGTTCCTCCTCTCTTCATTCTCTCTCTTCTCCTCTTTCCCTCTCTCCTTCCTCCAAATACTTCTCTTTCCCTCTTTTATTCGACGAGTTAGGTTATATCGCGGGGCTACTCGTCTCGAAAGAAAGAAAGAAAGAAAGACTGTATATATGTGTGTGTGTGTGTTATAGAGAGAGAGAGAGAGAGAGAGAGAGAGAGAGAGAGAGAGAGAGAGAGCCACTGCTGCCGTATGCTTGTTCAACACCACCCCCGAGGCAAAGCGCATGGTCGCCGTCATGAAACAGTGGGTGAAAATGTTAATTCCAGCCGAGAAACCCGCCCTTCTCTTCTCCTCGCTCTTTTCTTTTCGCGAAATTCATCATTTTCTCGTTTCCGCCCTTTGGCATTAACCAGCCTTAACTTGTTCATGTTATTTTTCACGCGATGGAGTCCCGGGATCAGGTTCGTTAATAATAAGTGAAGGGTTAATTGCAGACCTGTGCCGTAGATTTCAAGATTACGTCTACGCAGATTGTTTACACGTTGTCATCGCGATGTATACATAGTTTTTTTTTCGTATGAACACAGTGGAAACCATGTAGAATATTGTAAATTATACTAATAAATGATAATATATGAAAGAGTAATTAAATTATGAGACAGTTGCTGTATGTGATCTGGATATTTATATGTATAAAATAGAATGCCTGTCTGTTTGTTCCCTGTCTATATGTTCCCTACACATTTCTAAACTCTTTGAGCCGATCTGGACGAAATTTTGCATAGTTATTCTGTGGGACCTGAAGGTAAGAACGTAACCAGAGGATTCTATGGATCCAAACGCGTTTAGGAAACAACGTTTATAAATTTACATCAGGATTCTATAGAAAGGTTAAATAAAAATATAAATTTTTCTTAACTAATTTTAGAACAGGCCATACGTTCTTTAAACAACACCCACAGATTATAAATTGTCTACATGTATGATACTTCATACATACACACAAAAACACTATTATACTATTGCTAAGAAAAACAATTACTCGGTTTACTTTCCTTCTTTCAAAGAATGATTGTCTTCAATAAAGAATATTATTCTTTATAATAGTCTTCAAAAATATTCTCGTTACAAATTTCAGAAAAACTCATTATCATGTAATCAAGAAAATTTACTCTCTTTACCTCATCGAAAAAAAGATTGCCTCGAGTCTATAGGCAAACCGAATTTTTTTTTAATTTAACATTCTTCATTAAAATGTAAAATTTACTCAAATTCAGGGCGTATTCTGAATAAATTTGATGCTTACAACGAAAATTTATGATATGAACTTGCGAATTTACTCTCTTTACAAAAACCTCATCGAAAAAAAGATTGCCTCGAATCTATAGGCAAACCGAATTTTTTTTTAATTTAACATTCTTCATTAAAATGTAAAATTTACTCAAACTCAGGGCGTATTCTGAATAAATTTGATGCTTACAACGAAAATTTATGATATGAACTTGCGAATTTACTCTCTTTACAAAAACCTCATCGAAAAAAAGATTGCCTCGAATCTATAGGCAAACCGAATTTTTTTTTAATTTAACATTCTTCATTAAAATGTAAAATTTACTCAAACTCAGGGCGTATTCTGAATAAATTTGATGCTTACAACGAAAATTTATGATATAAACTTGCGAATTTACTCTCTTTACAAAAACCTCATCGAAAAGAAGATTGCCTCGAATCTATAGGCAAACCGAATTTTTTTTTAATTTAACATTCTTCATTGAAATGTAAAATTTACTCAAATTCAGGGCGTATTCTGAATAAATTTGATGCTTACAACGAAAATTTATGATATAAACTTGCGAATACATAAACTTATAAAATACTTGAAGCAAGTGACATTTACTTGAAGCATCTTTCTGTGTGTATAGTTTATATAATCTACACGTAGACGTAGATAAACGTAAACGGCCAACACTGACTAATTGCTTGCAAGTGAACAGCATGCGAGATATAAATGAGCAGCCACTCACGTATGTATGAGAGTTTCGCCAGTTCTTCGGAGCGTACTTGCTCAGCTTATTCTCGGGATCCACGAAGAGGTACTCGCCGTCTGAAACATTAAGAGTGACTGGCTTATTTTCGATGTGCAGACTTATCACTGCACGAACAAGACACAGATATTCCAAACGCTCGACGGTCAAAAATATCCCCAATGACGAGCCATTACGTCTCCCCAGATCATCACATCTCTCGTCGACTTGCGGGTCGCGCGTCGTCCGCATGCATGCCGCATAGGTCGCGGGTCGTGGGTCGCGGGTCGCGGCTGGGCCCACCAAACGGGTCCGTACAAGGCGCACACGCGCCCATAGTGTCCCGATATGGTTCTTCCACGAAGCCCAAAGCCGCTCCATTCTCCTCGCGCGACTTTTTGCACGGCTGACAAGCCGAAATGCCGATACCCCCTTAAACGAGCGAAACAATGAAAGAGCTCGTCGGCGAGAGGCGAGACGTTCGTGAAAAAATGAGAGGGCTCCAAACCTGTCCTGCCTACACGCGGCCAGACACATTCGGGCCCTTACGCACGATAACGCGCGAGACGCGCTTTCCAAACTGGAACTCGGGTTGGAACCTCGAACCGGGACCGGGACCGGGTCCTCGAGGCCATCGAGGAGCAGTCCGCTCGCGATTCTCGATGCAGTCACTGCATTGGCAGACAGGGTGCCGTTGCGGCGCACGCGAGAGAGAATGCAACACTTTCGCGCGACGAGACCGGGATCCCTCGTGAACACGCCGAGGCTTTGTCTCAGAGATTATGCATTAACACCTCGCTAGATCCGCACGCTCGCAACGCAAATGCACGCATCGTGTCTGGACGTTCCTGCATCGTGACTGCATATTGCGAGAAGAAACGGCAACAGTCGCCTCGAAGAGTACGCGTTATTTGTTGCGTAAAGCACAGATTCGCACGTGAAGGAGAGAGATGGGAGTAATGATTATTTTGTATTTGAATTTCGACATACCGTGTCGAGAGAGATGAACTCAACGATGTATTACGAAGCTCGTCGAAAGACAGCCGAGCTTGGAAAGAAGCTAACTTTTTAACTCTACAGGTCCTTTCGAGGAAACCAAGTTGCGTACGAAAAAATTGTATTTTGTATCTTTGACTTATCATCGTTATGTTCTTTTTTACTTTTAATAAAAAAAACCCTATGTCTAATTTCAATTTTTCAAATCTGAAGACTCCGCGATTATTTATCTATATTAAGACAAAAAATTCAAGAAATAGTAAATATTTATTCAGTGAGTACAATACAAACTATATAAATTTGTGTAGAGCACAAATTATTTATTATATTTAAATAAAAAAACTCAGATTTGAGTAAATATGTTATTAATACCTATCAAATAAATATTTACTATTTTTTAGATTTTTTTTAGTACACACACGGAAAAAATATTGCAGTGGAAATTACGTTGAAGTTATATTTAATTTTACAATGTTTTTTTTATAGGACTCTCTCTCTCTCTCTCTCTCTCTGTATTATACCGACGTATTGTAGAATAAATGACTAGTAAATTTGACGATCTATTAAATATATGATATAAAAAAAGTATTCAAGTAACTACAATAATTTTGTAGCAAAAAGTTAAATGTGCGTAACATTTTCAATAAATATATTGCAATTTCGATCATAATTTTTCCGTGTGGTGTAACAATTATGTTATAATTTTGACTACAATATCTTTTCCGTATACGTTAGACAATGTCCGATTTCGAAAAGGTGAAAGGATACAGTCAACTTTTTATTCGTCAAAGTTGATCCGTTCAGAGGAATCAGGTCTGATGTAGAAACGTTATTACAACTTTGCTTCACGCCAACATTAATATTTTTTATAAAACTAAAGGCCGTTCTTCAGTTCTACCGAAGGCTCGAGACGGAAGACTCTGCGAATATCTCTCTGCGAGTAGAGACAACGTATCGAATTACGCGTGGATTTCCGTCTCGAGTTCCATCGCGAATCACAGGTCGTCTAAAATGGGCTTAAGACGCGGTCCGGTGTTCCTCTTTCGATGCGCTCACTCTCTCTCCGCGGCGAAGAGCACCTGTGTTACCCGAGGTATAACCCGACCATTACCGGGGAATGTTGCCCGAGGGCTAACCCTGGCCCTCGCGTAACCATCCATCGGGGTCCATAGGGCCCATCGTATTCCTCCAGAGATACCTCGCAGTCACGGACGGAGCGAGGTATCTCTCTTTTTCTTCATCTCCCATGAATCCGATCGAGTCGCTGCCTCGCATCCTGTTTATCTCTCTTACGTTTCATTCCATTTCATACTCTTAGATCTCGCCCCGAACGTGGTGCAGACGCAGCGCAAACGTTCATTCGACGACTCGCGTTCGACCGAACGCACTCTGCTTTCGCATCAAAATTTGCCGATTCAATTTCGAGCCAATTCTAATTCATCAGTTTGACGATGTGCGCAGATACCTGCGCTTTGTCTTCAACTGTACATCACGGAAATTGTAGATGCCTCGACGGTCTCACGGAGGGGAGAGAAGAGTCGAAGAGTTGTCTGAATAATAAGCAAATATAGAAGCCATTCCGCGCGTTTCCTGGAGAACAGATCCGGGAAGATCGCGAAGATAGTGTTCCACGTTTGCGACGCAGAAGAATTCGACGAGGAAGAACGATTCTCTCGCAAACCTACTGCTTTCCCAGAAGGAAACAATACCTCCCCCTTGCTCTCTGTCTCGGCGTGACGCAGCAATGCGCCGTAACCATAATTACAGCCGTAATCACCCTTGATTGCTGAGAGGGGATCCTGCGAGCTGCTTTTCTACCTTCGCACTCTCGCTGGTTGTCCTACACCCGGCCTCTCTCCTCGAACACGAGGTACCCCTGAGCCGAGGAAGATCGGAGGCCCTTTTCGAGAAATCTCGCGGACATACCCATGCCCGGTTTAGAACCTGAGACCCTTCTCTCGTAATTATATAAAAAGAAAAAGCGAGAAAGGAGGAAAAGGAAGAAATCTCGACTCGGATAAATATTAAGAGCGCCACGAACGTGGCCGATACGTAAACATATGGGACAAGCGATATAACGAGTGGGTGCGTTGATACCTGATCGATTCTTACAAGGGAACATCGCGAACCCGAACTCTTTGATTTTGATACACTTTTGATACTATCAACTAGAGTAAATCAATACATGAATAACGGTATATTCCATTTGTGCTCTATCGCTATTTAAAGGTATGATTTACAGTCTCAAAGTAAAAAGAACGATTCCACTTTTTCGTGTATTACACTGGTAAAAACTGATGTGTTAAATTTGACACATTTCATGCCCCAAATCAATCCACTCTCATTTATGTGTAAATTGAACACAAAACAAATGTGTTAAAAAGTAAAATTTAATACAAAGTTAAATTTTAAAAAGTTAACACAAAGTTGACACAAAGTTAAAATTTAACACAAAACAAATGTGTTAAAAAGTAATATGGAAAAAAATAACACAAAAATTTGACACTTAATTTGACGCATAATATGGAAAAAATAACACAAGAATTTGACACTTGAATACCGTTAGAAATCACAGGTTGTGTTAAATTGACATATTTAATATGTCAGACATAGATTATGTCAATTTAACATTTTCATTTCGTCAAAACTGTAGATTAATACTTTTCTCAAATATTAAAGTAACGTTTTATTTTAGTCAATTTAACATTATAGATATGTTAATTTAACACAAACTGTAATTCTTGACGGTATTCAAGTGTTAAATTCTTGTGTTAATTTTTTACATATTATGCGTGTTATTTTTTACCACATTTGTTTTGTGTTAAATTTACACATAAATGAGAGTGGATGATTTGGGACACATGAAATGTTAAATTTAACACATCAACAGTTTTTTAAATGTTAAATTTAACACATCAACAGTGTACTCTTAAATTGAAGGAGATCGAAAAAATTTTTCAAATAAAAGTTTAATGCTGTAAGTTAAATGCTGTAAATTGACATAAGTATAAATTAAAAAATACATTTTTTTATTGCAAAAAAATGTTTATAGGTATTTTTTTATTTATGCTTACGTCAATTTACAGCACTTAGCTTACCATTAAACTTTAATTCGAAAATTTTTTTTCTATCTCCTTTAATTTAAGAATAATATACGAAAAAGTGGAATCGTCCTTTTTACTTTGAAAGTGTAAATCATACCTTTAAATAATCTTTAAGGGCACAAATGGAATATATCGTTACTCATGTATTGATTTACTCTACATACTCACAAAAGTGTATCAAAATCAAAGAGTTCGGGTTCGCGGTGTTCCCTTGTTAGTCGGGGATGTTGCATAACAATCGGATTTGTTACTTGTCAGAGTGTTCCTTAAGTCACACGCGAGCGATTGCGACAGTTTCGCGACGAACGATGAAAGAAATTCCGTCTCTTTAGAATAAAATCGAGGAACACAAGAGAAATATTTTGACGGGCGCTTCCAGGAAAAAATCGCGAGCATCGTCACTTTTTACGGACTGGATTGTGAGAAAAGTTCATCTCCACCACATCTACTTTCTATTTACTCATTCACACCTTTCTATAGAACTTTTCCGAAATCGCTCCAATATCGAGGTCTTTCTTTCTTTCTCGCTTGTCATGTCCGATGGAGCGGGATCCTGCAGTGTTTAGGACAAAGATCATAAAAAAGGTAGCTCGGGACAACAGAGGATGCACAATCGCGCCGGTGGCATTCCGCATTAGTCGCGCCATCCCATCATTGACTGACACGTCGCCTCCGAATGGTAATCGTCATCCTCGTCATTCCGCGTATAGAACGTGGGCGCTCGCTAAGAGACAAGTTTTCGATAGTTGTCTCAATTTCCCGAACATTCCATATCGAATGTTTTAATGTTGAAAACATACGGGAAATCTGATCTTATAGAAAAATATCATTTTACTGCTAAGACAAGCAATTAGAAAAGAAGAAAAATATAGTTTTACTGCTAACAAATAAACCTATCCAAAATACATTCCGATTCCTTTCTAATTTGGCACAAATGTAGAGATACAAAAAATACTTAGGTCATATTTTTTCATTTTGGC